CTCCTGCACGTGCTGCGCCGCCTCGGCCGCCTCGGCCATCCAGGCGCTACGCGGACCGCTGGCGCATGGGCGGGGAGGCCCACCCGCGGCGCGCGGCGCGCGGCGCTTGAGCCAAAATGGCTACGGGAGGTGGAGGAGGAGGAGGAGGAGGAGGAGGAGGAGGAGGAGGAGGAGGAGGAGAAGCTCGCCAGAACATGCACGAACTGTCGGGGATGTCAGCGCAGAGTAATTATGGGCTGCCGCCCTGGGCCCCGAGGGAGCGGCCCCTGGATGCCGCGGGCGGGGACAAAAACGCTGAGGCCGAGCAGCACAGCCTTGGGTTCGAGCGAAGGGGGGGGGGGCTGGCGACTGCCGAGAGTCGTATAACGTATAACCGGTCCCCAGCCCCACTGGCATGGCCTTGGCCCCACTGGCCCGTCCACCCCCCCACCCGGGACACAGAGGCTGCTCCCTCCGGGCTTCGAGGGGCATGCCCCCCGCTGGTGGGGTGCGATGGTGAGGCTTGGATACCGTGGCCCAGACGGGATGGGGATAGGTCGTGGGGAGACTTGAAGGTACTGGTACCCGCTACTCCCCGGACCTCTCCTGGGGTGCGTTCTGACCAGGAGCTCGAGGCGAGTCCACTGGTGGCGACGAGGGCCTCCCAGGAGGCCCCAAAATGGGCAAACGCGGAAGAGTAGCGGCATGGGTACCTTCTCCTCCTCTGAGGTGGATCGATACTGAATCGCGAGCCCCAGCGCCGACGATTCGCCGACGACGAAGGCCGAGGATTCAGAACGCCTCGCGCGCGCAGGCAGCCAAGGCCAGGCGCACCTCGGACAAAAGTGGCCCCCTGGCCGAGGTGTAGCGGATTGGGCATCAGGCCGCAAGCCTCCCGTGGCTGTAGCTCCCGTGGCTGCTGCGGCTCCCGTGCCTGCTGTAGCCGCTGTAGGCGCCGTGGCCGCCGCGGAGGCAAATAGGGAAGGGCGAGGGCGGGAGGAGCGAGCGACGGCAGGATGAGGGGAGGAGAGAGAAGGGGATGGGCCCCGCGCCGACTGTGAACGGACAAAGACGATGCAGGACAAGCACGCCAGTCGTCTGCGAGGGCGAGGAAGCAGGCTTGACCAGAGGTTTTCCCTTCAGGCGGCCGCGATCAGGCAGGCAGCCAGGGCCGAGCTCACTCAGTCGGGCAGCTTCTGCGCGGGCTCCCCCTGGGCAGCCGCCCACCAGAGCAGCCGCCGCCCGAGAGCGCAAGACGGCCGAAAAGGCCTCCAAGAGGGCCCCACGACGGGGGGATATCCCGGACGGCCTCCAGACGGCCCTACAGGACACCAACAGAAACTCGAGACGGCCCAGAACGGCCCCCCCAAAACGGCCTCCTGGGGCGTCAAGACAGCCCAAGAGCGCCTTCAGACGGCCGACTCCAGAGACGGCCCCAGAGGCTGGGCAACAGCCCAAAGCCAGCTCCAAGATGGGGCCACAGGGGCCTTCTCAGTGTTCCCCCAGCGTTTTGCCAAACGACTTAGGGTAACACACAGTCCCATAGTATGGCTGAACTTTCGGCCGACATTTCACTTCGCACACGTCTCCAAAAAGCAAATCAAAATCAAATCCAAAATCAATCAAATCACACGACACTGGAGGCGTCTTCAACATGAGGTGCCATCTTGGCGGTGTTCCATGAATGGCTTTCTGCGGGGTGTTTGAATCGTGGTGGTGCCGAAAGTGATGTGCAACACATGCGGTGGAATCTGCGATGCAGGCTACGCAACGCAATATTCGGGGGCGCAAAATGGGGTGCGACCTGTGTGGGCCACTATCTGGTGGAGCCAGTCGTCTAGGATAGGACCGCATCGTGTGAGACCCTGTGGTGACTTTTGGGAGCGTCCAAGAGGGGGGCGTCTAAGAGGGGTGTGTGCAAATCATGGCTAGCGGCATGTGCGCGGCCCAGGGGGGGGGCCAGGGGCGCAGTGAGATGAGAAGAGGCGCCATGAAACCTGGGGTAATATCATGGCCCACGCCATGCGATTCATCCCTCCCTATCATCATCCCCCTCTTTGCCGCCTCCGAGGACATGGACATCTATGGGAAATACCCTGGGAACACTTCGGCGGGGTCCTGCCAGATCCCGACGGGACGAGAAGAAGCATCTCGGCGAGGCAGCGAGGAGAAGCGGTGAGCACACCTGAGTGCAAACACTGTTTGAGCGACTTTTTCAACTATTGATGGGCCTGTTTTCCACCACCGCCACCATAAGTTGGAGGGGAAGGGGGGCCTCCTCCACCCCCTCCTCCACCTCCTCCACCTCCTCCCCCTCCTCCTCTTCGTCCTCCTGCTCCTCCCCGTCCTCCTCCTCCTTCCCCCCTCCAACTTGTCAACTAGCCTTCAACTATACACGTCACAAATATAGATGGCCGGCTCTGGAAAACACGACTCCAAACATCGGGCCACCCTCCTTGGGGAGACACTCGGCTGTGACGACTTACTGACTACCTACCAGACCACCCCAACCCAACCCGAAGACCCGAATTTGACCCGAAATTCGGGTTGGGGGGGGTACGGATACCATGTGTTTTTTCAACGTTCCCCGACCCTCCCCCACTGGAAATCGAGGATAAATTTGGGCCTTCGGGTTGGGTTGGGGTGGTTTGGTGGGTGGTGACTTACGTTGACCTTCCGCGAACAGAACCGCTCTCGCGTGGCCTGCGCGGGTTGCCGCCGACCTTCCGCCGAAGAGAAGGCAGCGTCTCGATGTTATCGAAAGCGAAGACCTTTCTCTAGGGCTCCCAACTTCGCGCTTCGCGCTGCGCGAAGCGCGAAGCGCGAATAACTTCGCGCTCTCGCGCCGCCCTCCCAAAAGGGACAAAAGGAGGACGAGGAGGAGGGGGAGGAGAAACGAGGACCGCGAAGCGCGAAGCGCGAACAACTTCGCGCCCTCGAGGGAGCCCTTGTTTCTGGAGTACCCAAAATAAATACAAAATGAATGAACGTGCGCCTCGTTGTCTGTCTGGAGGAGAAAGCACAACAGTGGTAGAGGACCCAGAACACTCCAAACCAGCGCAGCTATCGTAAACGTCGTGGCGACTCTTGTGCTGGTTTCTGACCCCGCGCGGATCCTTCAACCTTGAAAGGTCGCGGCTTTCCGGCAGCGCGGATCGTTCGATGTCGGCTGATTATGGGCCTCTTGGCTTGCCACCGCGCCGACACGACGCGAACCTTCCGCAGAGAGATATGAGATGCACTTTCAATCACGTTGAAAGGGTACGCTCTTCAATACCGAAAAACTAGAAGTTATGTGTTTATGCATATATAGGAATACGCATGTGTATACATATACATATAGATACAGATGCGACGCTGCACAACCAACCATGCACAAACTCAATCGAGGGCTGCAGCCGTGCTAACACATTGGATAAACATGACAACAAATCAACGTTCCATCCAATGACCTCCAAGAATGCTCGAGCACCGCCCATTCATTACTACATCACGCGTATGTGTTGAGCGACGCTGATGATGACGACGGTTCGACTGGACCAGCAACCGCTAGCCCCGCTGGAATTAACGTACACAACACAAACCGCGCGACCAACAACACCTTACCAAATGCAAGTCTAGAGTTCATCCACTGGTGGAGACAACGCAGGAACAACATTCTCAATGAAGGCTATCACGTCGCTGATTTCTTCATCGGAGGATTCGTGAGCGATTGGATATGTTCTCCACGTGATGTTCATTCCAGCTTCCTTCATCTTTTTAAAGCCAGCCTTCCCCCACTTGAACTGCACTAACTTATCTTTCGTACCGTGGCAACCTAGGACTGGAATATCACGCCGAGTGAAGCCACGTGTTGCTTCATCCAATCGCGAATGAAGCAAGTCATGTTCAGGAAGGTATCCACTCAATGAGATAATGCCAGCTAACCGCTCGGTGCTCCGCAACAATGTTGATAATGATATGACGGCCCCCTGACTGAAACCACCAATGATTATACGATCTCGCCTCAACAAAGGATTGCGAGACAGTAAAGCTTGGATTGACTTTTCCACCCGTTCGACTGATAACCCGAAGCCTTCTACATCTTGTTTGCTGCTTGGTTCCAAGCCGTGGACATCGTACCACGAACGTGTGACCATCCCACCATTCAGGGTGACGGGCGCTTTTGGCGCCTTGGGAAACTGCCAAGCAATGTGATCAAATCTTTTAGTACCAGCCAATTTAGCTCTGAAGTTCGACCGCCACCCATCACCATCATCGCCAAGCCCGTGTAAGAAAATGACGGCAGCAGTCTTGTCAGAGCCTTCCTTGCAGACAACGTGAACAACGCAAAAAGCGAGCCATTGCAGTAATGCAACCATGGAGCTCGCGCGATAGAATGCGGCTGACGGCCAACAGTTGCCAGTGGGGCCCTGCGGTGGACGGCAACCAGAAACAGCTACGGAGTTCAAGGGTCCAAATGCGTATGCTTGTTTCTGAAGGGGCCCCAGGACACACACACACACACATGAATACACACAAATAACAGGATTCCCCATATTTGTTAATATTTTTTGAGTTTTCGTCTTCCCCGCACTTCCCATATTTTCCCATACTTTCTGGGGAATCGACGATTCATTGTGTCTGTGTGTGTGTGTGTTTTCCCCTCCTGATTGTTTCGCCGAGCCGCGCCAGGGAGGCCCTGGAGGAAGCCTGTAGCAAAGACTACATCAGAGAGAAACCACAACCAGTGGATGGCTTGATGAGACCGATGAGTGAGATCGATTGAGTTAGAGGAGAAAGAATTATGCATATACACCGACTCTGGCCAGGCCCATCCTGAGCCCAGGATCGGTGCATAGGCCCTCCTACCTTGGCCAGGAAGGTATACGGTACGCACCGATCCTGGGTCAAGGATGGGCCTTGCCAGGATCGGTGCATGTGCATAATTCTCTTCGCCCGAGATTGAATGAGATGAACCCAGACATCTGGCGTCTCGAAAAAATCGAGACATAGGTGTTTCATCGTTTTCGGCCTCTCGGGGCCCTGACCAGGCTTCGGGACCGTCAAAAAAAGATTCGGGATGAAAAACCGGTCTGGGGGAAGTGGTCGAGAGGTCAGGGGCCCGCGTCTCGAAAAAATCGAGACGCGGGATCTCTGGGAATAGTGAGATCGATCATGAGCTCGATCATGAATCGTGGGATCGATAAACAGAGATCGATAAGGAAATCGACCGGGAACCCGGGAACCCGGAACTCACCGAGGGCGGCCCGGAACCAATGACCAGAAGCCCGGGAACCCGACACCGGGAACCCGGGAACCCAGCCGGCTACCAGAATCGGCGGCGACTTTCGCCAAATCTTTCAATTTCCGCTAGGACCCTTCCAGTGCCAGCAATGATCGGGAGCGGCCAAGAGGGGGGCGTCCAAGAGGGGAGGGTGCAAATCATGGCCGGCGGCATGTGCGCGGCCCAGGGGGCAGGGGGGGGGGCCAGGGTCGTATTGAAACAAGAAGGGGCGCCATGAAATCTGGGGAAATATCACGGCCCACGCCATGATCTCCACACCCCCCTAGTCATCATCCCCCTCCTGGCCGCCCCCGAAATGATTTGGGTGTCCAAGAGGGGGGTGTCCAAGAGGGGGGGGCGCAAATCATGGCCGGCGGCATGTGCGCGGCCCAGCGGGGGGGCCAGGGTCGTATTGAACCAAGACGGGGCGCCATGAAATCTGGGGAAACATCACGGCCCACGCCATGATCTCCATCCCCCCTTATGCCGCCCCCGCAATGATTGGGGAAACATCGAAAGACTGGCTCCCGGGGTTTCTTCCAGCGGGCTGGAGCCCTGCCGAGAGTATGGGCCACCATGCCCTCGGCACGCCGGCGGCGTGCGCGTCTATAGAGGTCAAAACAAAAAACAAAAAAATAACCAACCCGACACGCGAAGTCGTGTAGTAAACGCGCCCAAAGAAGACATCGAACAGGGCAAAGTTTTGTTTTAATACACGCCCAGGGCCGTTTAGCAGACGCCGATTGTCTGGTCTGGGTGGTTTTTTCTGCCTTGAACGTTGGACTGCCTGTGAGGTCCCTGGCAGAGTTTCTGCAGTTCTTTCGGGGCAAAACCAGCCACTCGACTCGGGCAGCTGCCAGTCTCCCAGAGACGGGCCAACCTCAGACGAGCCAAGACCGCCCCAAGAGCCCAAGAAAGACAGACTCAGGACAGCGTCGGGACCCGCCCCAGCTGCATCAGCACCAGCTCACACGAGCCCGAAATGCCTCCCAAAATTGCCCTCCGATGCCGCCAAGAGAGTATGAGAAACCATGCGACGCCCCCAGAAGGCGCTCAAGGAATATTCACGCGAGGCCCTGAGAAACGCAAGCTCAGCCAAAGACGTACCCATTTCATCCTGTACATGCTGCCATCTCCTTGCTAAAGGACACAGAGATGTTGAGCTCACCGCCTCAGGGGCCAGGGAGTGGCGGCATTACAATGTCTGACAACCCTCTGGACACCCTGGGGACTCAGAGTACGAGGGGAGAACGGGAGGTGGCGGAGGAGGAAGAAGAATCCTGAAGCAATTATTATGGCTCGAAGGGGCAACACACTCGAACAATGCCTGAAGTTTTGGGCTCGAGGTGCAGGAATGCGTAAACCAATCAAGGATTTGGGGGTCGACGGTGCAGGTCCACTGCAACACGCAGGAAAGTTTGGGCCCGCGGTAGGTCGGGTGGCTGGGAATTGTGAGGACCTCCTTCATGGGGGCCGTTGTAGTTCTAGCCTCGGGGCCGAACGTCCACGTCTGAGCATGAAGGCCATCCTGAAAGCGAAGGAAACACTGGCATTGGAAACACACACACAAAAACAGATATACGGGTGGCACGTGCGCGCCCAGGCTCACATAAAAAGAACAACAAATCAACATCGCAGAACATTGGCAAGAACGGGAATATGAAGTCGGATCCAAGAATGAAAAGAACAATCATGTGGAGAAAAAAAGGAACACAGGGATACGCAAATTGTTTGTGTGTTACATGTGATGTGTGTATTGTGTGTTGTTTGTCATCTGGTATGTGTGGGTGTTATGGGTGCTCTGGGTGTGTTATGGGTGTGTCGCGTGAGTTGTGCGTATTTTGGGTTATGTGGTCTGCGTGTTGTTTGCGTTGTGCCTGCGCGTGTGTTGCCTGTTGTGTGTTGTTTGGATTCGCTGCCTGTGTGTGCGGTGTGTGTGTGTGTTTTGTGTGATGTATTGTCTGTGCGTGTGTGATGCGTGTGTTGTGTACGCCCGTGTGCGTGAGTTGTGTGTATTGTGCGTGTGTGGGATCTGTGTTATGTGGGTCGTGTGTGCTGTGTCCTGTGTCCTGTGTGTTCTGTGTGTTACGAGTCGGGGCTCGAGTTTGCGAAGATGCCTTAGGCGAACCCCCTTCTCTAAGAATCGTTTGCAAATTCGCTGACTTCCCTTACACGTTTGATCACGTTGTGCAAGAATGGTTGAAAGGGGCACTGAAGTTTGACCATAACGTCTCGATTTGTATGCGTCCGCTCTACACATGTTGAATATATACCGAGCGAAACGGTCAGAAACAAAAAACGCGGCTTCAGTTCATCGCATCTGAGCTGTGCTCCCTCGGAGAATAAGTTGCGCATGCATGTATTCATATACACATAATGATATAAAGATATATACTCAAAATCAAGATGGGCGTCGAGGTGGAAATCAACACCAGTTACTCTTCTGCGGTGATAGATCAAACAGAGAAGCGGTGCATCGAGTCAAACTTCGCCAGCGGCAAAAAGGCTTGGAAGCACTTCGAACAGGAGGCTCCCACTACGAGCCTTGTTTCGGGACCCCCCGCTCGACCACTGCGACTCCTTCTACTACTGGCCGCAGTCCCTCTCTGAACGCATCGCATGTTCTAGGGGAACGAACAATGACATAAACATAAAAACTCGGAGGTCTGCGCGGACCTCCGAGCTTTGTAATTTTTATATCATTGTTCGTTCCCCTCTGTTCGTGAACATCCAACCATCGTCAACCGGCGCCAACGCATCATAGAAAAACCCGAGATGCGTGAAGAACCCTGTGGGCCCTTCGCCCGCAGGCGCTGACGCTGAAACCTCGTCGGCAGAATCTTAGCGTAACAGCGAGCTCGAGAGACCCAAGAGGCGAGGGGCGAGGTACTAGCAACGTCATATCCTATATCCAAACAAGCGAAATGAAAACAGCCCAGCGAACCATAATGCTCGCTTGTGCTTAGACCACGCCATCTGTCTCCCTGAGCAGCTTGTCTGTAAATTCCCACAGGTGCCGCGTAAGAGAAGCCAGGGGCTGCTTTCCCGGCCCCGCAATCCGGCCCTAGAATCGGTGTCGGCGGCTTGGTAACATCCCAGATGGTCTCTCATGTGAATGCGTCCCTGGCCTCGGAACCGGTGACTCGAGGGTCTCCCGCGTGGCCACCCACTTACAAGGCATCCCGAGGCGGACCGTTGCAAGCCCCGGATCGGAGACCTCATGGTTTCCCGCATGACCTCCCGTGTGATGTCCATGATGGCTTCCCGGTGTGGTTGCTTAGCATGGTCTCCCTTATATGACCTCCCGCTCGCCCCCCCGCGTGCTCTCCGGTGTGGCCCCCTGCATGGTTTCCTTGTCCGAGCCACCCTTTGCCCCCGGAGGCTACCGCATCTTACGCAGCCCTGGGCTGCCGTGGCTGATGCCGATTTCACTCGGCAACGTGCTGCCAGGCACAGTGAATACTTTCTGCCTTGATCGTGCTAGCGCGGCTGAGTGCATCGAGGTGCATGCCGCACCAATGCTTACGAGGAGCAGCACAGGGGCGAGTGGGAGGACAAACAAACGAGACGGAAGAGGATGAGGATGATGACAACGACAACGAACGACGACAACATCATCGCCTGATATGTGGGATGCTAACGTCATCGCTTGATACTTGCCGCTGCGCCGCAGAGAACGTCTTCAGGCTGCAAAGCGGGGGGGTAAGGAGGAGGTGCAACAGCGGGCTTACCGAACCAACTGGTCTTTCTCCAACTTCTTGCTGTTGTTGGTGTCGTACTTGGCGATGAGTCTGTTCAGCTTCACCTGAGCGGCACGCCAGCATCGGACACCTCCCCGAAGAGCCCTGCGTCCAGACAGTGCCTGGCAATAGACTGTATACCCCCCGGCACCAGGAACAATGGTCTGGTCCAACCCGCGCCTGCGCTGACATGGATGAAGGGGCCCTGGGACACACAAATAAATACACACAAATCAAAGGATTCCCAATATTTTCCCATATTTTCCAAGTTATTGTCTTCCCCCCCACTTCCCATGTTTTCCCATATTTTTCTGGGGGATCGACGATTAATTGTGCCTGTGTGTTTTGCTCCCTCCCGACATGGAGAAAGGGGATCCCCGGGTCTGGCGCGTGGGCGCCAGCTCCGTGGATCGGAGCACAGAACCCCCGAAGCATGGCGCCGGTGCATCCCGATCTCCTCCTCCTCCATCCTCCTCCTCCTGCTCCTCCTCCTCCTCCTCCTCACTCCTCCTCCTCCTCCTCCTCCTCCTCCTCCTCCTCCTGCTCCTCCCCACCCTCCTCCCAATCTTTCGGCTCGCTCGCGCCAGGACCAATGTGCCAGGACCAATGTGCTTGCTGCTTCCTCAGCCGAGAGGTTCCGCCCCAGATCTCACCAGATCTCCAGGGTCAGAGGCGTGCGGTGCCAAGGCCGCGTCGCTACCAGGCCAGGCTCCTTTGACTGCGGCCCCATGGTGCACACTCACGACTTCGGAGAAGCCTCGGCTTGCGGCTTACAGCTTGGCGGCGATCCTGGTGACGCTTAGGTGTCCTCCGAATATCCTCCTCCTCCTCCTCCTCCTCCTCCTCCTCCTCCTCCTCCTCCTCCTCCTCCTGTCCTCCTCCTCCTCCTCATCCTGCTGCTCCTCCTCCTCCTCCTCCTCCTCCTGTTCCTCCCGCACCTCCCCGTATTTGTTCCTCCTGCTCCTCGATGGTCCCTGCCGAGAGGAAAACAAAACAAACAAAGACGGCACACGTCCGAGCGGCGCCAGAGGTGATACAGAGGAACCGCTGCGTCGCACGCCTGGGAGTGGGCCCCGTGGCCCTGGCCGCGGTGAGCGGCCGGCTGGCCGCTCTCCCGCGCCGCCTGCCGCCCTGTGCGGGCCTCCCCCGGGCCGGGACACTGCTTCGTGCTGCTCCCATCGTACTCGAGGACCACATCCCATAGAGAATCTCGAGCACCCAGAACTTGCCGTCGCTCGGACGTCCATTTCCCGTGCATTTTTCGGTTTCGATGGTCCAGGATGGTCCTCGATGTTTCTCGCCGAGAAAAACTGCACACGTCCGAGCGATGCCAAGGGAACAGAATAGAAGCAGGGTCGCCGGTCCAGCATTGCCTCCCAGGGCCCGACACGTGGAAACCCTTCTGGTGTCGGTACTTTCCTGGTGCTCGGAGCTCTTTCTGGTGACCGAGGCTGAAGCAGGTGTGAACATCACAAACACTGCTGCGGTCAGGGACGTCTGCTCCACGTCGCGCCGCTCGGCGGGCGTCGGGAGGATCGGAAAGGCTGGGGACGCTGACGCTCGGGGATGCGGACATGGACGGCGTGTCGCGCTGAAGCGTGGTGGGCCAGCATCGGCGGAACGACACCCTGAGACCCAACTCCCGACCGTAACCAGGGCTCGAGGCATGCAGCCCGGAGAGGGCGAAGACGGACAACGCGTCGGCTCACGGCTGCAACTTCCTCGTGCGAGCCAACGTCCGGCGAGCACGCACTCAGGTCGGGCGTGTCCCCCTACAGACGGATTTAGGACGAAAAATAAAAAATAGCCAAACAATAATCAAAAACGGTCAACACATAATTAAACTCGTCCCCGTACTATCTTTACTATTTCTGCACATTCCTCCTGTAGAGGGGCAGGCCCGGCCTAAGCATAACACACAAACTTTCTGATGTCCACGAGCGTTTCTTGGCTCGGCGCTGTATCCCCACACGCGCGAAGCGCGCCAAGTGGCGCTGCCAGAGAAGCGCCGCCAGTGGGGCCATGAGCGCCGATTTGAGAACTCCGCGCGGATCTTCGAATGTGTATGTGTTTGTGCCGCTTCTGTGCTTCGAGGGTTGATCAAAGTCCCCATTCAGGGTGTCCTTCCAATCAAAGACTCAACTGTACGGTATCAACCTCTCTCGATGTGTTTTGGTGCACCTGGCCCAGTTGAGCGTGCTTCGGTCGAGGGATCTCCCTCTCGGCACCCCGAGCCAAGGACGCACACGGACGGAGACAAATCGCTCTGCTCGCATTACACATGCACTGCAACGCTGCACTCTTATGGCAACCCTTCCCCGAACTGGGGCCGCATCCGCCGCGCCCCTTCCGAGTGGCTCGGTCACGCCCCAGCGCGAACGGCGCTGCAGATCCATCGCCGCCGATCGGCGCGGCAGCTCGGAGGCTGTGGACTCCTAGTCCTCCTCCCTCCTCCTCCTCCTGCTTCCTTCCTCCTCCTGCTTCCTTCCTCCTCCTCGCCCTTCTCGACAATTACTCCATACGAGCACCAGTCTCCTCTCTCCCCCGGTCTAGCGCGAGCGTGGCCCGTGTTCCCCCGCGTGCTCTTTTCAGCGCGAAGGGTTTCAGGGGCTACTTTTCTTAGTGCAGTTGCTTTTAATCGGAACGTCTTCGCTGCTCCCCAGTGGTTCTGCCGGTGCGGCGCTGCAGCGATCCTGGGACGCGCCGAGGCACCAGGCTCCAAGGACGCCAAAGGCCAGAATGAGTATCGTTTTTGTTCGGCCCCCATCCCCAGCGGCGTGGCCTGGGCCCCGCTGGCCGATTCACTCCCCCAGATGGGGATATAGGCCGTCCCCTGCGGGTTTCGAGGGGTGTATTCCCCCACTGGGGTGGCAATTTGGTGGGGGTCTCGAAGGAGACGAGGATGGGGATGGGGGTTGGAGAAACGATACTGACAGAAGCACCTCGACCTCGCTCGGGATGCGCACAGAACTGAGGGATGCAGCAGCTCCTTGCCAGTTTCGACTGCACCACGCCTCCTCTCGGGGGGGGGGTCCCGAGGAGGTGCTCCTGGCCCACAGGTGTCCCCCCGCCTGGACACCCGAGGGGCCCTCGCAGGCCTTGGGGAAAGGTGTGCTCTGGAGGCCACCCAGGTCACCATGGGCCAGGGCTGCCGCTGGCAACCCCCGATCTCCTCCTCCTCCTCCTCCCTCCTCCACCTCCTCCTGCTCCTCCTCCTCCTCCTCCCTCCTCCTCCTCCTCCTCCTCCTCCTCCTCCTCCTCCTCCTCCTCCTCCTCCTCCTCCTCATGTTCCTCCTCCTCCCCCTCCTCCTCCTCCTTCCCCTCCTCCTCCTCCTTCTTCTCCTCCTCCTCCTCCTCCTCCTCCTCCTCCTCCTCCTGCTCCTCCCCCTCCTCCTCCCAATATTTCGGCTCGCTCGCGGGCCTTGTGCCGGTACTCCTTCCACGCCTGCTCGTGCCGCCTCCTGTCCGCGTCGCTGAGCGGAGTCACGTTGTAGCCCCTGGCAGATGAGGGGAGGGTGGTGGGAAGGGGACAAGAAGGGGAAGAGCGACGGAGGAGGAGAAGGAAGGGGAGGTGGGGGGAACCGAAAGATACCGATGCCGCTACTCCCTGGGCCTCTCCTTGGGGGCGTTCTGGCAAAAAGAAATCCAGGAGAATCCAACCGTGGCGACGAGGGCTCGCCATGACGAAGAGCGGCATGGGTATCCTTCCTGCCTCGGATGACGGGGGACGGGAAGGCGTGGGGCAATCGATTGACAATTTTTAGGTTTGGAAGCCGGGACGAGGAGGGAGGAAACATCCTTTGAGTGGCCAGAACCACGCGAGGAGAGTGGCATGGGGTGGCAGCCCCCACCCATCCCCTGCACCAGGTGCCAACCCCCCGACCCCGTCGAAGCCGCGGGCAGGGCACCGTCACAAGCTCCGCCCTCGGGGCTTGTCTGCCCGCTGGGCTTTTCCAGCTTCGGTCCCGGTGCTTGTCAGCCAACCACCTATGCCTCCAACTGGGGGAAGGTCTTGGGGTGTTCTTGGGGCTCTTTTGGGGAGTCCTGGGGCTCTCTCGAAGCCGTCGGGGGCCTCTTGGGAGCCTTGGAGGCTCTCTTGGGAGCCTTGGAGGCTCTCTTGGGAGCCTTGGAGGCTCCCTTGGGGCTGCTTGAAGGGGCGTCGTTGAGCGGGCCCCCTGAGGTGCGACGCCCCTCTGGGACCATCAAATTCGCCTCCTGGGCCCCTCTCGGGGCGCCCTCGGGGCGCTCCTGGGCGGTCCTGGGGCGGGGTGCCATTGGGCCCCATCTTGGGGCTTCGTTGGACAACCCTGGGGCCACCCTGAGGCCTCGACGCCACATCGGGAGCGAACAAAAGCGAGAAGGCAGCACTCACCGATTCGCTGTCCTTACACATTGATGTATCGGGGATGGACAGAACCCCCTGTAGTAAAACGTGTTTAGTGAAAACGACCTCCGGCCCAAACCTGGCGGGCGCAAGCCAAAAAAACGACGGCCGCGGCGCCCTCTCGAGAACGGACAATTCACTAATCGACATGTCAGGGTGGGGAGTCTGTCCGATCTGGAATGTATATCTATATATCTGTATATCTGAATATATATATATATATATATAGATATCGATACACATATATAGGTGTGTACATAAACATATATGTATAGAACAATAGGTATATCAATACAGATACCCATAGATCAATATATATATATATATATATCCCGCAAGACGAGGCGCCCGCCCCGCAGGGCCAACCCGCGCGACCGAGCGCCGCCCAGACCCCCGCGGCGTGCGGTATCCTCCCGCAAGACGAGGCGCCCGCCCCGCAGGGCCCACCCGCGCGACCGAGCGCCGCCCAGACCCCCGCGGCGTGCGGCACAGAGGGCACCGACGCGCCCCCGCCGGAGCGGCGCTCGGGCCGCCGCTGGGCATCGCCACTTGCCGCTGGATCGCGCCGCGCAACGCCTCTCTCTCCCTCTCTCGCTCTCGCTCTCTCCATCTACGTATACATCCAGATGTGCGTGTCAGTGTCACTGTCTGTGTCTCTCTCCCTCTCTCTCTCTCTGTCTTTCTCTCGCTCTCTCTCCTTCTCTCTCTCTCGCGCGCTGTCTATACATGTTCCAATCAATGTACGTGTTTACCTGCTTCTCTCTCTGTGTAAATATACATATATATACACATATGTTTCTCTCGCTCTCTCCCTCTACAAACATATAAATATATATGTATATACATACTGGAACCATCGCGCGCTTCGCGCGCGCTCAGGTTCTAGCAGGCCGCAGGCCTTGACGAATTCACTGCTCCACTGAAGTAGTTGACCAAAGTCCACGCATGCCAACTTGCATTCCGAAAGGCCTTCGAGGAAAATGGTTGTGTAGGGAGGCGGAGGCCGTATGAATCGGGTTCCCAGAAGGCCTTCTGGGAGCATGGGTTTGGGGCGTCTTGGGGAGCCTGTTGGGGCGTGCCGCCGTCGTCGTCGTCGTCGTCGTAATGTCGTCGTCGTCGTCGTCGTCGTCGTCGTCGTCGTCGTCGTCGTAATGTCGTCGTCGCCTGTTGGGGCGCGCCGTCGTCGTCGTCGTCGTCGTCGTCGTCGTCGTCGTCGTCGTCGTCGTCGTCGTCGTCGTCGTCGTCGTCGTCGTCGTCGTCGATTCAAGAGGGCACTCGGGGCAACATTAGGCGAAACGATCTGCGCAGGGCCGCGAGAAGGCGATCAACCATGTTCCCAATCAACTTCACGGACAACTCTCCTGTAGCATGATGGTACTTCGAAGCCTCCGGAGACTCGCGGGCCCATGATGAACCATGTCCCCGGAAGGCTTTCTGGGGACATGGTTTGTTGGGGTGTGTTGGGGGGTCTCTTGGGCGTTCCCTGGGGGCCCCTTGGGGGCCTCCGGGAACTCTCGGGCCCATGATGAACCATGTCCCCAGAAGGTTTTCTGGGGACATGACTTCTTGGGGGGTGTTGCGGGGCCTCTTGGGCGTTCCCAGGGAGCCCCTTGGGGTCTCTTGGGGCTTCCTGGGGGCCTCTTGGGCGCCTCACGGGGCTTCGTGGGAGCCTCTTGGTGGCCTCCGAGGGCCTACAGGCGGCCTCGGGCCAGAGACCTCGAAATATCGGTTGGCGGTCCCCCTCTGGGCCCTCTCTTGGGGAGCTCTTGGGGCACAGTTGGGTTGTCTGGGGAGCATCCTGGGCCGTCTTGGGGCCCTCTTCGGGGCCTCGTGGCTCGTCTTGGAGCGATCTGATGGGCCTCCGAGCGAGGCCGTGAGGGAGCGCTGGGAAGCGGGGAAAGCGAGAACGCCTAAATCCTTCAAAAACCATTGGAAAATTAGTGAATCTTGCCTCCAGGGGCCCTCTTGGGGAGCCTCTTGAGCCCGTCCTGGAGCGTGTTGGAGTCCTCGTCGGCCGTCTTGAGGGCAGCTTGGGCATCTTCGGGGCCTCTTGGGACCGTCTAGGGCCCTCTCGGGCCTCCATTAACCTGTCGTGGCCTGCTTCGGGGCGGGCCCGGGCCGCCTCGGGACCCCTCTGGGCCTTCTCTTGGCGCGCTCTTGGGGTACAGTTGGGTTGTCTGGGGAGCATCCTGGGCCGTGTTGGGGCCCTCGTCGGGGCCTCGTGGGCCTTCTTGGAGCGATCTGAAAGGCCTCCGAGGCCGTGAGGGAGCGCTGGAAAGCGGGGAAAGCGAGAACGCCCAAATCCGAAACACTCGGATAACGAGTGAATCTTGCCTTCCCGGGCCCTCTTGGGGATCCTCTTGAGTCCGTGCTGGAGCGTGTTGGAGTCCTCATCGGCTGTCTTGAAGGCATCTTGGGCGTCTTCGGGGCTTCGTGGGACCGTCTTGGGTCCTCTCGGGATCCCCTTAGCCTGTCGTGGCCTGCTTCGGGGCGGGCTCGGGCCGCCTCGGGAGCTCTGGACCCCCCCCCCGCAACCCCTGGTGGGCACCGATGGGGGGAACAGGCAGCGGCCCGCCCCCCTCCCCGGGCCTACTCCGAGATAGAGAATCATGTTCCCGGGAAGCTTTCCGGGAGCATGATTTGTTCGGCTCTCTAAGAGAGGGGCCTCTGGGGGCTTACCGAGGGGCGCCTTTTTGGCCTTGTCGGCAAGGCTATTGGAAACATGGTTAGGGCGGTGGGCGGAAGCCCAAGGAATCATGCTCCCGGAGAGCTATCTGGGAAATACGATTTACCGAAGTGTCTTGGGGCCCGCAAGGAGCTTCCCTGGGGGTCCCCATGGGGGCCTATTGGGGCTTCCGGGAGGCCTCTTGGGAGCCTCACGGGGCTTCTTGGGAGCGCCCTCTTGACTTATCTGGGGAGCCTCCTGGGCCGTCTCTGGGCTTTCTTGGGAGCCTCTTCGGCCGTCTTGGAGCGATCTGAAGGGCCTCTGACGCGGTCCGGGACCGTGGGGAGGTGGAACATGGGAGAGCGCAATCATGCTTCAAAAACCATTGGGAAATTCATGATTTTCGGCTTCTGGGGCCCTTTGGAGGGGCCTCTGGAGGCGCTCGTGGGGCGTTTTGGCGGCGTCGTCGGCCGTCCTGAGGCCATCTTCGGAATGTCTGGGGCCTCTGGGGGCTGTCTTTGGGCGTCCTGGGACCCCGGAAATCATGCTCCCGGAGAGGCTTCCGGGAAGATGATTTCGAACGAGGCCCTCTTGGGTCTCCCTGAGGCCGTCTTGGGGGCCTCCTGGGCTTCGGGGCCTCTTGGGCCGTCTTGGAGGGTTCCGTCAGCCCCACAGGCCGACCCTTTTGGGCCGTCTGGAGCACTTGGGTCTTCATTGGGCTGTGTTGGGGCTCCGCGGGGGCGTCTGGGGCACTGCGAAGACGAAGCCAACGAGCATGCTGAAAATGTACGCTTTACAACGGAAATGGGCTGACTTTTGCCTCTTGGTTCCTCTCGGGGCCCTCTTCAAGCCATCTCGGGCCCTCTTGGGCCTCGCTGAGGCTGTCCTGGGGCCCTCTAGGGGGCACTGGGAACCCGAAAATCCTGTTCCCAGAGAGGCTTCCGGGGACATGATTTCGAACGGGGTATCTTGGGCCTACCTGAAGCTGTCTTGGGGGCCACCTGGGCCGGCTTCGGGGCCTCTTGGGCCGTTTTGGAGGGTTCCGTGAGCCCCACAGGCCGTCTTGGGCCCTCTTGGGTCTCTCTTGGGCTGTCTTGGGGCTCCGCGGGGGCGTCTGGGGTACTGTGAAGACGAAGCCGGCGAGCATCCCGAAAATATACGTTTCACAACGGAAATGGGCTGACTTTTGCCTCTTGAAGGCCCTCCCGGGGTCCTCTTCGGCCATCTTCAAGCCATCTCGGGCCCTCTTGGGCCTCGCCGAGGCCGTCCTGGGGCCCAGTAGGGGGCCCCGGGAGCCCAGAAGTCATGTTCCCGGAGAGGCTTCCGGGACCATGATTTCGAACGGGGCCCTCTTGGGCCTCCCTGAGGCGTCTTGGGGGCCTCCTGGGCTGGCTTCGGGGCCTCTTGGGCCGTCTTGGGGGGTTCCGTCAGCCCGCGGGCCGGCCCTTTTGGGCCGTCTGGGGCCCTCTTGGGTCTCCCTTGGGCTGTGTTGGGGCTCCGCGGGGGCGTCTGGGGCACTGCGAAGACGAAGCAAGCGAGCATGCTGAAAACGTACGTTTTACAAAGGAAATGGACATTTTTTTGCCTCTTGAAGGCCCTCTCGGGGTCCTCTTCGGCTGGGGCCTCGCCGAGGCTGTCTTGTGGGCCTCTTGGGCGTCCTTGGAACCCGGAAGTCATGTTCCCGGAGAGGCTTCCGGGAACATGATCTCGAACGAGGCCCTCTTGGGCCTCCCTGGGGCCGTCTTGGGGGCCTCCCTGGGGCCGTCTTGGGGGCCTCCTGGGCCGGCTTCGGAGCCTCTTGGGGCCGTCTTGGAGGGTTCCGTGAGCCTCACAGGACAACCCTTTTGGGCCGTCTGGGGCCCTCTTGGGACTCTCTTGGGCTGTGTTGGGGCTCCGCGGGGGCGTCTGGGGCATTGCGAAGACGGAGCCAGCGAGTATCCCGAAAATGCACGTTTCACTAAGGAAATGGGCCGATTTGTGCCTCTTGAAGACCCTCTTGGGGCCCTCACGGGCCCTCTTGGGGCGCTCTTGGGCGTCTTCAGGCTTTCTTGACCATCTGTACTGCCCGCGTGGCCTGTCGTGGGCAATTTGGAAGCGGCCCGGGACAGTCCCAAGGGGTCTCTGACACCCCAAAAGTGCGGGGGGGCGGCCATGGGGGATGACGGCACCGATTTTGCCCCCCCCCCCCCCCCCCTACTGATATGTGTGTATGTATATGTATGTATATATATATACACATATATATATGTATGTATGCATGCACGTTCATACATGCATAGTAGCGTGCATGCTTCGTTTTACATCATCTCTCTCTCTCTACCTCTATGGTTGCTGCTCTCTATCTCCATGTATGTGTATATCTATGCATACGTATTTCGTCCCCTCATTCTTGACACACGTATATACATCTATGCATCTACAAATGTGTATGTTTATACATCCGTGTACGTGCGGTTTTGTTGTGTTGTGCTATCTCTATGTATTTCCATCTAGGCACCTGCATACATGTGTGTATCACTCTTCTCTTTTGTTGTTAGGACTCCCTCTCTCATAACATCTCTCTGTCCACGTAGAACACACACATGTCTATGTGCATAGAGCCATAGGCACATATCTCAGCTTACGTGGTGATCTGCTTCTCCCTCTCTCTCTCTCTTGTGTTGTCTCAGGCCGAGTGCCGTATGCGCGCGAGTCTGCAGGCCGAGGTCGGCCACCCGAACCACAACGACCTATCAATGAAACTGCTCGGGCATCGACGCAGTGGTCATCGCGGGGGTGCCCCGCACTACTGGCTGTAGTCGGAGATGTAAAACCGTAATAGGGGCAATGGAAGACCTGCTGTGAGAGTTCCCTTGCCCACTGTAGTAGGATCTGCAGTGAGCAATGTACTCGTGACAATGTCCGGGACATGCAATAGCGACTGTATTCAGATATGTCGTACACAGTAAAATAGGAGCTGTAGTGGGAGTTGTATACTGGTGCCTGCGTGGAGAACTGAACTAGGAACTGCAGTGGGGGATGCATTGCGGACTGCATTGGGGACTGTACTGTCTGTGGTTGAAACGTTAGGACGAATTCGACCAGGAACATGATGGAACTCTGTTCTACTGGCTGCAGTGGGAGTTGCAATATTAGCTGCACAAGGATATGCCATCTGATGTGTAACGTGGTACTGCTCGTGGTTGTAGTGGGAGTAGCACGAGCTGTTGTAGTGAGATCTGTACTACTAGTGGCTAACGAGAATGAATGACTGTAGGGGTTGCAGAAGGCACTGTTGTAGGAGTTGTAGTCGGAGTTGCACTGGGAGCTCCAGGAGGAGCAGCTGTAGGGGCACTGTGCTACTGGCTGCAGTACGGCCTCCTATAGAAGCTGGAGTAGGGGGCAGCACTAAGCGCTGCATTGAAAGCTATACTCTGAGCTGTAGGGACAGCGGTACTCGCCGGTCTGTCAGGAAACTGTATCCTTCCTCCCTGCCCCATTCTCGCACACCACCTCCTCCCCCTTCCCTGTTCTCTCCTCCCCTTTCTGTTGCCTCTCGGACACCCCCGAAGGGCATGGCGGCGGCGGCGGCGCGCCCAGTCTGACGGTGAGCCCGAACGGCCACGATGGCGCCCACGGCGCCCTCCACTGCCGAAGGGGGCGCGGGCAGGAGGCCTGAGACAGGAGACAAGAGGAGCAAGGAAGGAGATTGAGGAGGGGAAGGCGAGAGTAACAGAGATGAGGAGGAGGAGGAGGAGGAGGAGGGGAAAGAGGAGGAAGGACGGACCTGACTCACTGTCTCATGGATACGGCCCGCTTCATAGCTGGAAAGAAAGCCTCATTGGACATACCGCGGGGAGAAGCAAGAAGGCCAACCATACAAGGCACATAAAGTGGCATACTACGTTTGCTTACAACCCTCTTCATACCTGGAAGTGGAGCCCGTCTACGGCATACCCCAGGGAGAAGCAACAGGGCAAGAAGGGAAGACTACAAACATGACATTGCTCATACCCAGACAACTTGTTTTCCTACCATGTGCACGGCACTGCTCACTGTGCGACTGCATTACTACTTGCTATCGCCTACCGACTGCCTAAAATTGCAGAATACAAATAAGGACAGTTCTCCACACACAGCATACTGAATCATAGCTTCTCTATACATGTACTAGAACCACGCGCGCGCTTCGCGCGCGCTTAGGTTCTGTCGAGTCACAGACCCAGGAACCGTTGTGAGAAGAAATTGGTGACGCGAAGCGTCGTGGGGGCGTCCTTGGACGTCTGGGGTCTCCTGGGGCCTCTTGAGGGGCCTCCTGGGGGCCTCTTGGCGGCCTCTTGGGGCGGAAGGCTCGAGCTTGCGGTTCGTGGTCCCCTCTGGGCCCCCTCTTGGGCCCGTCTTGGGGCCCTCTTGGGCCATCTTGGGCGCCTCTTGGGCCGTCTTGGGGCCCTCTTGGGCTGTCCTTGGGCCTCCTTTGGGCCTCTTGGGGGTCTCCTGGGGCCTCTTGAGGGGCCTCCTGATGGCCTCCTGGCGGCCTCTTGGGGCGGAAGGCTCGAGCTTGCGGTTCGTGGTCCCCCTCTGGGCCCCCTCTTGGGCCCGTCTTGGGGCCCTCTTGGGCCATCTTGGGCGCCTCTTGGGCCGTCTTGGGGCCCTCTTGGGCTGTCCTGGGGCCCTCTTGGAAGCTTCTTGGGCCGTCTTGGGGCGGTCTTGGGCGCCTCTTGGGCCGTCCTGTAACGTCGGAAAGCCCAAAAGACAACTTTGTTGAAAATGTACGTTTTACGAAGGGAATGGGCCAATTTTTGCGTCTAGGGGCCCTCTTGGGACGCATGTTGGAGGCTTCTTGGGGCCTCTTGGGGGCGTCCTTGGACGTCTGGGGTCTCCTGGGGCCTCTTGAGGGGCCTCCTGGGGGCCTCCTGGCGGCCTCTTGGGGCGGAAGGCTCGAGCTTGCGGTTCGTGGTCCCCCTCTGGGCCCCCTCTTGGGCCCGTCTTGGGGCCCTCTTGGGCCATCTTGGGCGCCTCTTGGGCCGTCTTGGGGCCCTCTTGGGCTGTCCTGGGGCCCTCTGGGAAACTTCTTGGGCGGTCTTGGGGCGGTCTTGGGCGCCTCTTGGGCCGTCCTGTAACGTCGGAAAGCCCAAAAGGCGACTTTGTTAAAAATGTACGTTTTACGAAGGGAATGGGCCAATTCTTGCGTCTAGGGGCCCTCTTGGGACGCATGTTGGAGGCTTCTTGGGGCCTCTTGGGGGCGTCCTTGGACGTCTGGGGTCTCCTGGGGCCTCTTGAGGGGCCTCCTGGGGGCCTCCTGGCGGCCTCTTGGGGCGGAAGGCTCGAGCTTGCGGTTCGTGGTCCCCCTCTGGGCCCCCTCTTGGGCCCGTCTTGGGGCCCTCTTGGGCCATCTTGGGCGCCTCTTGGGCCGTTTTGGGGCCCTCTTGGGCTGTCCTGGGGCACTCTTGGGAGCTTCTTGGGCCGTCTTGGGGCGGTCTTGGGCGCCTCTTGGGCCGTCCTGTAATGTCGGAAAGCCCAAAAGGCAACTTTGTGAAAAATGTACGTTTTACGAAGGGAATGGGCCAATTTTTGCGTCTAGGGGCCCTCTTGGGACGCATGTTGGAGGCTTCTTGGGGCGTCTTGGGGGGCGTCCTTGGACGTCTGGAGGCCATCTTCAGCATCTCGGAGCCCTCTTGGAGGCCTCTTGGAAGTTTCTTGGGCCGTCTTGGGCGTTTCTGGGGCCGTCTTGTCTGACCGGGGAGGCCTCCGGCAAGCCCCGACGAGCCTCCGGGGCCCCCGGGGTGCACATTTGTGGTCGAGGTCCCGGCCCCGGGCCCCCGGACCCGGTGCGCCGTTATATGTATATACATTGCTCCTGCCACCGATGGTGGAAAAGTGACCTCCCTCCTCCTCCTCCTCTCCGCCTCCCTCCTCCTCCTCCTCCTCCTCCTCCTCCTCCTCCTCCTCCTCCTCCTCCTCCTCCCCCTCCCCTCCTCCTCCTCCTCCTCCTCCTCCTCCTGCTTCCCTCCTCCTCCTCCTCTTCCCTCCTCCTCCTCCTCATCCCTCCTCATCCTCCTCCTCCTCCTCCACCTCCTCCCCCTCCTCCTCCACTTCCTCCTCCTCCTCCACTTTCCTCCTCCTCCTCCTCCTGCTCCGCCTCCTCCTCCTCTTCCTCGCTCCTCCTCTTCCTCCTCCTCCTCCTCCTCCCCCCCCCCTCCTGCTCCTGCTCCTGCTCCTCCTCCTCCTCCTCCTCCTCCTCCTCCCTTCCTCGCCTCCCCGCGAGCCCCAGGCATGGCCCGAAGAGACCCTACACGGTCACCCCGTTGCCCCCAGCAAATGGGATCAGCGGACCGCGCCGCATCGCCGATGCGTCGGCGATGCGTCGGCGATGCATCGGCACCGTCGGCGTGGAGACGATCGGGCTCCACATCGCGGCGCACCGCCGATGCATCAGCGATGCGGCGCAACCCTCCGACCCAAGTTGCTCCGACCCCGTCCGGGAGGCCAGACCTCCCAGTCTGACTACCTACCAGACCACCCCAACCCAACCCGAAGACCCGAATTTCGGGTTGGGGGGGGTATGGGCTCCATACGTGTTTTTTCGACGTTCCCGGACCCCCCCCCCACTAGAAATCGAGGGTAAATCTGAGCCTTCGGGTTGGGTTGGGGTGGTTTGGTCGGTGGTGACAGTCAGCGACGGGGCTTCTCGGGAGCCCGGCCTGCCGAGGAGCCTTGCAGGCCTTCTCGGAAGCCACAGACGGCTTCCCAGGAGGCCGGGGGGTGCAGAGGTGCGCCGCCGCCTTCTGAGAAGGACAGTCCCTTGTGCTGCATTGTCGGGGGACCTCGTCTGTCCCGTCGCGGCCGCCTGGCAGCAGCTTAGCGCGGCCATGCGGGAGTGCTTGTCGGTGCGGCGCGGGCTGCCAGGCGCCCCAGAGCGCCCGCATGCGGCGGCAGCTTGGCAGGCCAGGCCGCTCGCCCTCCCCAAAGCGGGCGGCGGGGGCGAGGCGGCGGACGCTGCGGCGGATGCGGCGCTGCTCCGGCTCCGGCGGCTGCGCGGCTTCCGGCACGCTCAGAGGCGGCTGGGAGGCTCGGCGTGGGGCGTCGCGCAGGCCACCTTGACCGCGCTGCGTACGGACCCCGCCCACGCCACCTGGGCGCAGGACCTCGCGACGGTCACCCTTGAGCACGGGGTTCCGCAGGGCCTGCCGGACCGCGCGGAGGAGGATTGGCGGCGGGCCAGCGCTGCGGCCAGGGCGCGCCGCCGCGAGGGCCGGCGGCAGCGGGTCCACGATTGCCTGACGAATCGGCAGGGCCGTCTCTATCGGTGCATCCGCGGAGGCGGCGCCCTGGGTGCGGAGCTCGTGCCGGATCCAGCGGTCGCCGCTGGCACGGCCCCCGCCCCAGCAGGGAGCAGGCCTTGGCTCCTATAGCGCTTCGCGGCGGCTCCGGCCGAGCGCTTAAGCGGCGACCCCGCCGCGCAGCTCCGCTCCTTCGAGGGGCCGTGGCGGGAGCTGTGGCAGCGGCAGCCGCGCGAAACGCTCGACGAGGGCTGCTTGCAGGAGCTGGACGGCCACCCGCCCTTCCCAGTGCGGGCGCCCTGGACCGCGGAGCTCGCAGATAGGGCCCTTGCGCCGCATGCCCAAGAGTGAGAAGCCATGGCTCGACGGGTGGAGGGTCAGCAAGCTTCGCCTTCTGCCGGCCGAGCTGCGTGACTGCACCGACGCACTCTTGGAGGAAAAGGCGGCGTCTGGTGAGTGGCCCCGGGAGCTCTCTGAGCCGGAGGGCTTGCTGCTCCCTAAGCCCGGTGGGGGTGCGGGGCCTCTGGACTCTGGACAGACGCCCCATCTGGCTGCTGCCCATCCTGTACCGCTTGTGGGCGGTAGGTCGCGCACGCCTGTTTGCGCAGTGGCGGCTGAGCTGGGGCGGCGCCGACGCCTGGCGCGGCGCTGAAGAGCTCGTCTGGGGACTCGCCCTGGAGCTGGAGGCGGTGGAGGCCCTGTGGGCCAGCGTCGCCGGCGCGGCCCTGGATTGGCGTAGAACTTACGACCATGTTGGCCTCCACACGCTTCCCGCCATCCTGCAAGGGCCACAGTGCCGCGATGGGTGGTGGCGCCAGCTATGGCGGCTAATTCGGCGCAGCGACGGATCCGGGTCGGCCGAGCGATCTGCGAGCCTTGGACGCCGTCCAGCGGCACGCTGCCCGGATGCATGCTGACCTGGCCGTGGCAGCGGCGGTGCGGCAGGATCGACGACCGCCTCTAGCAGAGGGTGTACTTCGACGACTTCACTCTCTGGGCGCGCGGACCTGTCCACGATCGGGGAGACGCAAGACTCTGGTACGGGGGACTCGGGTTGGCCTGACGGGGGCCATCATAAAAATGACGGGACCCAACATGAAACTTGGCGCGGGCTCCCGCTGCAGACATCCCACGAAAACGGGACCGTCAAAATCCAGGACGCGCTCGTCAAAAAAAATCGGCAAACCCGAGCTCTGGCTAACTCGAGTCTTACGTTTCCCCGACACGAAGCGGCCGATGTCGGGGAGGCAGTGTGTGACGCCCTCCGGTGAACGGCGGAGTTCGAGACGGCCATGAATTGGCGTCTCAACAGGGACAGAAGCCGGCCGCCAGTTCGCGAACACAGCTGGTCTCCGCCGCTGGC